TTTTTTTAAAAAAAAATTTGAAATAAAATCGTTAACGTTAAAAACAAATGATGTAAGGGCTTGTTTTCTTTTCCAGAAATCTTGTTATCAAAACACAAAAATATTGTTTATTTACAATAAAATAATAACGTATTTACATTACATCTTTTCCAAGTGTGCAAATAAGTTTATCTGACGATCATAAGTAGGTCAAATCTGCTATGAACTCTATCTGACATTAAAAGATTAATAGCTTTAAGTAATTTAATGCTCTTCAAGTTTGATTAATATGAAACTTGTGATGGTAGATTACAGTAAATTAGCATACTTGGGAAACAATGTGGCTCACATAATTACGCAAAACTGCATTAACTAAATGTTTAAACATGTTTTATCATATGTGGCTCGACAGATGAATCCAGCAATTCGGGTTTAATTAGTTTCAAAGGTCAAGCACGGTTAAACTTTACATTCTGTGAAAGTACTGCCACAAATCATCGTTCTTTGTCAGTAAACATGTTACGGCGGTGATAACTTATGTAAAAAATATCTTGTTAGTGTACAGCTTAGTACATTCGTTTCCTCGTCACTTTCTATTCATGATAGCATATTTATGTTTTCTTTATAATAAACAAATGTATTACATTTCTAGCATCAATTAAGCCAATTTTCAAGAAAGTAAAAACGTAAGACCTTTTAACGCTGAAAAAGCTTTATATTTACCATTTAAACCATATCAATGATTAATGTTGTTGCTATGATATTTTAAATAAAGTAACATTTTATGAGGAAAAAAGCGAATGAACCAAGGATAAACCCACTTGACTAATTTTAGGTAAACGTACTTTTGCACTGGAAACAGGAACATTTAGAGCTGTTTTTTGTTTGTTTCGTCTTTAGCCACATTTGATTAGTGATGTGCAAAACGTAAATTAATAACAGAAACAAATTGTTTACTTTCTAAACTTAACTTGTTTTATTGGAGATAAGTTTAATATGCCCTTTGACTTATCGAGTATGGGCCAGGCGTGGCCTATTCGTTAGTGTAGTTTGCTACGTTGTGAAATGTCAAGGGATCGAAACGTGAAGCCGGTGAACATGCCTCGCACTTTCAGTTGTGGGTGTGTTATAAATGTGATATATATATATCCCACTATTTGATTCAAAGAGTCGGACAAAGTCCTCGCAGCGGGGAACTGAATGGCTGCCCCCTTTTTGGTCAATAGTTTAAAATTCAAAATGACCTGGTCAAGTGCTTTTATAGGTGCCTTTCAGATTTTAAGATAATGTTCAATAATGTTGATTTCATTACGTTTAAATGGTAGGAATATATTTTAAATAATTCAGTTGCATATCCAGCCATAAGTTAAATTTTAAATGGTTTGTTTGTATGTAATTAAGCACAAAGCTACACAATGGGTTATCTGCGTTCTGCCCACCACGAGTATCGAAACCCGGTTTCTAACGTTGTAAGTCCGCAGACATACCGCTGTGCCACTGGTAGGTAATTTTAAATGGAGAGTTAATACTAATTTAAAAATATAAAATAAATTCTAATTTACTTACAAATGACAGAATCGTTTTCTCATATTGAATTAAGATATTACTCAAAAACGAATTATTTTATTTTTTTATAATGCATCTAATAAAATTTAATTTTCAAAACAAAATTTAAAGTATAAATAAATATGTCGTTGTTTTCATAAAGCTATGCAATAAGTTATCTATGCTATGTCTACCAAGGGGAATTGAGCTTCGGATTTTAGTGTTAAATCCATAAAATTTACTGCTGATCCACCGAGGAATTATATATCTGTATATTTGAAGCAGCAGTTTTATTACACAACATTTTACTCAAAACTATTACTAACGAGGGAGCCCCCCAGTGGCACAGCGGTATGTCTGCGGACTTACAACGCTAGAAACCGGGTTTCGATACCCGTGGTGGGCAGAGCACAGATAGCCCTTGTGTAGCTTTGTGCATTATTAAAAACAAACAAACTAACGAGGGAGATAAGGCCTGATTATTATCAAAATTCGTAAGATTTGATTCTAGTTGTTGGCATTTTAGCGCAAAACTATACAAGGTGCTAACTGCACTCTGTCTACCGCGAACTCTGAATATAAGCGTTGTAAGTCCGGAAACTTACCGCTGACGCATTGGAAGACCACAAGCTTTAGTAAACCTTGTTATTCGGTGTAGTATATACATCAAAAGAAATAATTGAGAAGCTTCCAATAAAAACAACAATAAAAACTGTTATATACCTAACTTTTATTAATGCGAAAAATTAAATGAATAAACTAATCACGCAAATGTATAAGAAAAATAAGCTAAATTTTAATAAAGGATATACAATAGTAAGTCATCTGCCAAAAAATAAAATAACAACTAATCTACTTGCATACATATGTGCCACCTAGTGGCAAAATTACAGTAGAAAAAATGCCATAGGATAAAATCATCAAAAACATTTTCCCCCGTGAATCCCAGAACTTATCTAATACTATTCTTGAAGGATGAATAATGAATGAGAAAACGTGACATCCATCAATCATCCTTGTTAGATTCAGTTAAAATGATCTGCACAATTTGCATGTTGAATTCATTGTCTAACAGCCACAAGTATGCCAGTACGGCAATACAACTATAGAGGATTGTTTAGGTCTTGTCTCACCAGTTCACTGTCAAGATCAACGACCTTGACTCTAGTCACGTACTGTTTATGAACGAAGTATCTTACTTTCACCTCAAAGCATTTCAAACACACATAATTTGCGTAAAAATAAAGAAAATAAGCTAAGCCAGCTTGCAAGTCACAAATTATTTTCTCAAGATTTATGGGAGTATTTTTTGAAGAAAAATTAACAACAAGTTATTTTCACAAGCTATAGAAGGATTACAATGTACCCATTTTCTTTTTTTCACTAAAGTTTGAAAATGAAAATAATAACAAGAAGACCTTATATAGAGCGGAATGATTTAGAATTTGTGGTTACACTATATTTTCAATAAACTGTCATAAATGCAAGCTAGGAACTGTTGATGATAAAGCTAGTTTAGGAAGCATTTCGACACTTTGGCAATTAAATATGTTGATGGATATATGTAGCTGTATATAATTATATAGATGTTAAATTGTAGACGAAAATAAACCTGTCAAATGATAAAAAATAAAGAGATGTTCAAAGGGCATTTAAACATATGTATTTAGATATAAACACCACAGAACAAAACAAACAAACAAAAACAACAATAAATACACGGTATTACGGGGAATTTCTGGAACATATCAATTAAGAGTTAATATTGTATGTGTGTTTTTGTTACCCTGTTTGGCATATCAGTATACTGCAGTTAATATTTTCAGATGTGTCCACAGATGGAGGAACATGTCAAATATGTTACATGTTATCTTGTTTGCCATCTTACTTTACCCGAGCACAAACATTTTATATCTTTACGGACTGATTTTAAATTGTATCTAATCCAGTGGTGTTGTGTTAAATTTTATAGCGACGGAGCCAAAATTTGTCAGTCGTGTGTGACGCCTCCACCAGGGTAAAAATTTCATATTCAAAACCCAATTTTCACCTTTGTGAGTCCATTTTAAACAAAGAAACTTTTTGCAGGATTAATTATTTGAGATTACTTACATTAGTAATAAATTGAATATGCATATATTGCCGGGAGAAAACATGCAACTTAACTTCCTTTAGATCAATATAATACTTTTAGTCTCCTTCAGCTTCAGTTTTAGCAACAGTAGTTTGTTTTGTTTTTGAAGTTCGCGCAAAACAACACGAGGGCTATCTGTGCTAGCCGTCTCTAATTTAGGAGTGTAAGACTAGAGGGAAGGAAGCTAGTCATCACCACCCACCGCCAACTCTTGGGCTACTCTTTTACCAACGAATAGTGGGATTGACCGTCACATTATAACGCCCCCACGGCTGAAAGTACGAGCATGTTTAATGTGACGGGGGATTCGAACCCGCGACAGATTGCGAGTCGAGCGCCCTAACCACCTGGCCATGCCGGGCCGTAGCAACAGCAGTCTGCAAATAGTATTAACAACTTTGATCTTTACGTTTTCCATATCTCCTGTCTTGCTAACACGAATAATTAAAAAAGGCGAACTTCGTTGTATATTATACAAATAATAAGCTTTTTAAAAATGTGTGCATTTTAAACACACGGTATAATTGTGAAATGTATTTCATGAGGTGTTTTAATACCATATTCATGTGTGTCAATAACCAGGTCACGCATGGCAATAAATATTTCACCATTTTAACGCTCTGACACCTGCACTTCAGCTGGAACGATCGCACGGTGCTCAATGCCAGCTCTTGAGGAGAGTGACAGAGCGTTTACTGGACAGTCTGAAAGAGTTCTACCAATGGACTTGGGGGGGGGGGGGATCACAAATAGTCAGTGTGTTCTCTGACACACTGAGAGCTTGGTTATAAAATACATTTAATTTTCAATAGCTTAATTTTTTTTAATATATATATATATAGTTTAAGTTTTTGACTCAGCTCCAATTTCAGTTGCCGGCAGCACTACACCCATTTTCTAATCAAAATTTGGCGCATTGTTTACAAAAAAACAACAACAAAGAAGTTTAAACAATAGAGTAAAACACTGAAACTAATTTGCTCCACATTATTATTCTTCACTACCAAGGATTATTAGAAAATTTACGTAATATTTGTTATAGATAGTTACTCGTGAAACTAGTTAAAAAATAACAACAAAGGGTTGACCAAAAACATGTGAAGTCAGTAGTCAATGAAGCCTTTTTTAATTTTTGTTTTCATCATTTTCGTTCAAACATTAGTAAAAAAATCTAATAATCTACCTTCATCTGATATGTTTTAAACTTCTTGAAGGATTAAACTTACCTGTATCATAGTCTAAAGCAAAGTTTCCATTTTCATCGCCACTTGTAATTATATAAGTTACCCGACCATTGTCTCTAGAATCAGCATCCGTGGCGACAATGTGTAAGAGAGGAAAACCTACTGGTTCATTTTCTAGAATATCAATGCGACTACGTGTTTGAAAGACAGGACTATTATCATTTTCGTCTTCAACAATAATTTTACAAGTAGCACTACTTGAAAGACGCTCCCTTTTTTCTTTGGCTTGGTCAGTTGCGGTTATGATTATGATAAACTCGGGGAACGACTCGTGATCAAGCTTTTCGGTGAGAGTTAGAGATCCAGTACTGGTGTCGACTTTAAAGACACTTGAAGGTGATTGATGAGTAATGGCATAATTTATGAGACCGTTGTCTCCATTGTCTTCATCTGTTGCACTAAAATTCCAAATTATTGTGTCTTCTCTGGTGTTTTCTGGAATGGAGAATAAAATTGGATCGGTTTTAAATGTCGGCACACAATCATTTATATCTTCAATGTGCACTTTTACACTAATCACACTGCTGCGAGGATTGGCTGTGCTGCTATCCACCGCTTTCACCTGTAACGTGTACTCAGATGACATTTCATAATCCACTTCATCGACAGTAAACAATGCTCCTGTTGTTCTGCTTATATCAAATATGCCATACAAGTTTCCGCTAATAATAGAATAGGTAACGCGGCCATTTTCACCACCGTCTTGGTCTACTGCTTGTACCAATCCTACTTCTTCGCCAACGGGTATACCTTCAGGAATACGGAAAGTTAAAGCGGAGGTAGGAAAAGTTGGTTGATTGTCGTTGAGATCTAACACGTGTATTTTAAGTTGAAGTTGACCCTCCTGACTAGCAAAGCCATTATCTCGAGCCACGACTGTTAGTTTGTATTCGTTCTTTTCTTCATAATCCAACACAGCTTTAGTTGTGATGACACCACGTTTGTGGTGGATGGTAAAGTGCGCTGAACCATCGTGTTCTCCATTGCCTAATAAGAAAATTAGAAACATTAGTATGACACATTTTAAAGATTTTCTGGTTCATCAACACTTGTTTGAAGTTAAGCACAAAGATACACAATGCTCTGCCCTCCACGGGTATCGAAACCCGGTTTCTAGTGTTGTAAGTCCGCAGACATACCGCTGTGCCACTGGGGGGCGTTCGCGTTGTAATTCCGTAAACTTTCCACTGACCAATTGGGGGACATATACATATACTGTACATATACCGGGGGGCTTCATTAACGTAACTATTTCATTCAAACTTGTGATAAAGATTCCCGCTATGGTCCAACAATGATAAATGAACATCTGGCATTCCATATGACAATGGCTAAAATGGAAAGACAAATATGCAATGCATGAAATGGTTGTGTACTCGTTTAGATACTATTAAAGCAATCAAGGCTGGATGCTTTAATACGGACAGTATTATCACACTTAGTTCAGTTATAGTTATGAGTTAAAATTAGCTTATAAAGTAGTTCAGGATGTTGCTGTTCATTTGTAATTTTACACGTTATCGGAAGTTCTGTGTCTAGTTTCAAACTATTATTTTTTCAGATTTTATAACAATCATTCCGAATTTACATGGATTGAAAAGTATATAGTAAAACAGGGAATATTTTTTTTTCAGGTGATGTTTTATGCCACAAAAACAAAGGTTATATTTATTCTATTCTGATTTCTGAATTGCAAACTTACGTTTCTAAGAGATCAATCAGTACCGATATATTCCCTTCAATAGATAAAATGAAGTGTGATATAAATAATGGAAATTCAGTAATCCGAGCTTACATTCTGTATTTAAACTTAAATCACTAACCTGGAATAATTGAATATGTGACAGAGGCATTTTCTCCTTCGTCAGCATCAATGGCTTCAACTTGTACCACTTCGGTTCCGACTGGTTGTTCTTCGCGCACAGAAATTATTTTATCCGTGGGCATCACAAAAATTGGATGGTTGTCATTTTCATCCAGAACCCGGATTACCACCATAGCGCGGTTAGATCGTGATGGTGATCCTTGGTCTCGCACCTCTGCCGTAAGCTCATAACTGGATATATTCTCTCTGTCCAGTGTCGTTTTCGTGAAAATTTCTCCTAAAATAAGAAAGTTTTATGATCATTTAACTTTGATAAATAATGTAACCATAAATTTGATGCCAAAATACAAAAAAAGGAATTATCGAATGCATTACAGTGTTAGAAAATAAATAAAAATTAGGTTACAGTCGAGCGTAATCTGGAACTGCAAGTCCGATGTGACATCATATTCACTCACTGACGATGCATTTACACATTTTGTAGTAAAAAATAATGTGTACAAACCACAAACAACAAGAAATTTTAATCACTGAAAAGAGCTAGATTTAACATAGCTGTTGCAATTTAAGCTGTTCGTTTCGTATTTACATATCATAAAATAAAGAATCTACAACATAGAAAATTCTAATCAGAAGTTGACTTGAACTTTTACTTTCTTTCCAAAACCTGTACTTCTGCATACAGAGCTAGTTTCTCATATTACAGTAGCATACTTTATCCACAAACATTATTGTAAAAAATAAAACACTTAAAGAATAATTACCCTTGACAACGTATAACTTTACAAAAATAAACTGTAATTTATTTCTATAACAGGTAAAGACAAAAATGGTATGAGACAAAAATAATACTGAGTTCGGCGTAGAATAAAGACGAATGATATAATATAAGAATGTAACAAATAACAGAATAAGTAATTAAATATTAAGCCAAATCAAATTTTACTAGTTGGATTGTAGTAAACAATCTGAAATGAAAAGAATAATTGTAAAATTTGTCAAAGAACCAAAATTTTATAATACAATAAAGGTTTTGTAATATTTTTTCTATCTGATAATCCTGTTTTAATCCCAGGAATGATAAAGGTATAGTATACTACAACAAAGTTTATACTGACTTAATCCTGTTTTAATCCCAGGAATGATAAAGGTATATACTGTCTGTCGTCTCCATTTAATAATTCATTCAGGTTGATAATAACTGATCACTTATTAAGCAAAAGGAGTTTTTTAATTTAATTTCTGAATTTATCAACGAAATATATAGAAAAGCTTCGTTTGTTTGTTTGAACTTAAGCACAGTGCTACACAATGGGCTATCTGTGCTCTGCCCACCACGGGTATCGAAGCCCGGTTTCTAGCGTTGTAAGTCCCCAGACATGCCGCTGTGCCACTGGGGGGCGTATAGAAAAGCTACAGATATGTGAATATTCATTAACATTAATAAGTTCTATTGACCTTACATATTAAGCTTGCTAAATGGTATATAATCATTTTCACGTTTGTCTTCAGGCTAAATTTTTCTGGGATTTATAATAATTTATGAAATCTTGAAACTTTGTTCGTATGTATGAGAAAAAATATAATTCCTCCAATTTCGTACTGTGCAAAATTTTTTTGTTAAAGTGCGTAACGTCAGCTATTTTTAACCACTGGAGCAGTGAATAGCTTCTTGCTAGCCTAAACGTTTGTTTGTCGTCTTTTATACTTTTCTCTCGAAACGTTTACTCAAGAAATCATTAATGCAGTGTTTGACAAATGGGACCGCCTATTCCAGTGTCATGTTAGAGACGTGGGACTATGTTACCAGACACGCTTCGTACTTTCAGCTGTAGTGTTATAAAGATTGATTATTATGTGTAATCTTAAAATTGTATTGTTTATCAAGATCAAAGGATAAATGTAAAATGAAATACAAGTCTGTGACCTGAATAAACTGGGTGGCTTTGTTTCTGAAATAATGAGACCAAACGAGGCCTAACTTGATTTTGTTCGTCTACCAAGAATTATTATAGTCAGCAGTCCAGCTTCTTAATCTCTAACTTTAGCGATAAGTTAGTTCTTGCTTATGATAATCTAATATAGGTACATAATTAAACATGTTAAACTATGTTATTACCTCATGAGCATTAAACTATTTGAAATCAGACAATAATATTGTTATATTGAAATACGATCCTTGAATGTGTTGGATATAATGTTATTATTACTATAGCAACTAAGGAACTGAAACATCAGTTTACTTAATATTAAACCATAAAAGTATTATTTTAATCAGAAATCATCTTGTATATTGGTCGAGCGTGCTATTAATATTAAAATTCGATATGCCACATATTGAAATGATATAAATACAAACAAACCTGTAATTGGGTTTATTTGGAAACTGGAATTTGACAACAGTAAACTATATCGCAAAGAGGCATTGTTGCCCAGATCCTTGTCACGGGCAGCCACAGTTCCGACAAGCTTCCCTCTTTCAATGTTCTCTTCTACTGTAAATAGAAACTTTGTTTCCTCAAACTCTGGGCTGTTGTCGTTGGCATCTAAAACTCGAACAAGTATAGTTGCATTGGCAGACAGAGGTGGAATACCGTTGTCCACAGCAAGGACATTGAGAGTATAACGATCAGTATCCTCTCTGTCCAGGGTATCTTTGAGATAAAGGTATCCGTTATTTGGAAAAATTCCAAATTTCTTTTCATTTCCACTACTCAATTTATATGTTAGTCTAGCATTATTTCCAGTGTCTCTATCCGTTGCACTGACTTGAAGAAATTGCGAATTGATCGCCAATAACTCTAATACATTAATTTGATAGTTGGACTTCTCAAATTCAGGGGCGTTATCATTCACGTCTTGTACGTCTACAGTAAGAGTCATTGTAGAACTTTTTGGAGATACCCCAGTGTCTGCTGCCTTTAGCAACAGAATGTATCGTTGCTGGGTTTCATAGTCGAGACGTTTCTGTAACGATAAGATACCACTTAGGCTGTCTATGCTGAAAATGCCATCCGGGTTCTGAATGATATGATAATGAATTGCACCATTGGCCTCACTGTCCGAATCATCTGCTTGAGCAACATATATAGGAGCGTTCAGTTCTGTGTTTTCTGGAACACTGATCTTAAAAGACATACTCTTGAATTGAGGAGCGTTATCGTTCACATCCAGAATGGTAATGTTCACCTATAAAGTAAATGTTGTTTTCATAACTTAAAACATGCTCAAATAAATATTTGTAATCGTACAAATTATATTACTGCTATACATATTTTACGATAACTGGTGAACATACACCGATATATTATACCGAAATAAAACGGAGAAACACTTTTATACAAACTGAATTTCATAAATCTTATACAAAAATAAGTTAAAAAGATATCTGTCGTACATTTACAAACACACTGGCTATGTTAAAAAATACATACAATTTATCTTAATAAAATAAACTGTCTTAACTACAGATCAATAACTTTATGAACTGACTTCAAAATAACTGAGAAGGATGGATACATAAAATGGAAGTTTTAGATACATTGCTACACATATGTATAAAAAGAAATGAGACGGACATTCTAAAGATATGTATATATATATACATATAGAAAGAGAGGGGGGGAGAGAAGTTTACCTGAGTATGGCCATAAGATGGAGGCCGACTGCGTGTCGCCTGGACGTTCAACAGAAGAATGGGATGTGTCTCATGGTCAAGTGTCCTTCTTGTAATGATGGCCCCTGTAGACGGGTTAATACTGAAGTATTTTTCAGGATCGCCAGAGTAGATGGAATACCTGACATCTTCCCTATCTAACAGATGACAAAAAGAAAATATTTAATTATAGAATGTATTCTAGGTATCGTTGCTATTAATCACTTTCCTAAATTACGCCTTTTCAAGCTGGCGATTACTTTCTCTCATACCATCTTACTTTAGCCACGAAGTGCAGACTAATGTCAGTTATTCTTCGCTTATCTTCGCGTCAGTCACATCGAAGACTCCTGTGTACATAAGTAACTTATCAGGTGCGCCTGTTTGTGTCCATGTCTTTTATAAATAATACAAAAATACGGTCAGTGGACCAAGTGGAAGATCGTTAAATGCACTAAAAAGCATCGTCCATTTAAATAATTTGTTGTAGACATTAATGTGACATGCGTGAAAGATCGATATTATTTAGCAAAATTCAAAACAACGAAGTTAAAAAGTAGCCTAAGAGTTGGCGGTAGGGGCGGCGTGGCTCAATAGCTTCGCGCTTTGGATTCCTAGTGTGACGGTTGCAATTTCCAGACTGGTTCGCGTCGTGCTGTTGTGCTAGACACACTAATTGTTCCAGTCTACCCAGCTGTACCAGTTGTTAGCTGGGAGTTAACCTGCGATGGACTGGCATTCCGTTCAGGTGGAATATGTCATCATTCTCATCCGCTTTTGCCAATTAAGCCCGATTTCAGCACAACATTTTCTATGCCATTTCGGTATGGGAGGGATTTGATTAAGAGTTGGAAGTGAGTGTATCATTTCAATACTAGGGATACCTATATGGCTTTGTGAAAAAAATTCTGAAACAAATAAAACGATAGGCTTAATTAAAGTATGTACCATAAGTATCTCCGTAGTTTGTAGTCTACTGGTTTGAGCCCTAAACAAGTCACCGACGTATTTCCTTGGAAATATTTCGTATTTTATTCAGTGACTAAGAATCTATACTCTTAGGTGTGTGCATATTTATCATTAACATTTAAGGTAACAAATTTATCACTAGGCAGTAAGAATTCACTCAAGTAGAAAATACACGACTGAAATTAATATTGAACAAATAGTCCACAATTTATAGTTTAAGATCACATAATTTATTAAATACAGATTTATATGTGATATCAACACATTTATATCAAAAGAAAAACTTCTTTTATGGTATAATTTACCTTAACATTTCATTCGGTTTTACCTTTAACATACATTTTTTTTTCAAAATTTGTAGTTGCAACCCATGTATACATATATTTGTTTCAGATTGATCAAAAATGGCATATATTTTAGCATAACCAAAATAGCTGTTTCAGATGTGGCACTGGAGAAAAAGCAGATCACATATCAGGCACTTTTGGAATTCACACGTAAAGTGTAGTTAGTTTAAAGCTTTACACTTCTGTGGAATTCCTCAATAAGAAACATAACGCACGTACATAAAAGGATTCCCAAAATAGGAGGATCTGAGATTTGGTTAACAAAAGATTTAATGGTTAACTAACTTGGCTGGATAAAGATGAAGAGAAGACAAGCCAGCGTGACGTCTAAAGGAATTAATTTACAAAACTAAAGGTCCGAAATTACAATGACGAAACTGAAGTGAAATTGAAATAAAAAGTCAAACTGAAGTTAAACAGAAGACGTGAACGGCTACCTTCACAAAGTACGAAGATACTACAGAGTGAGTCGCTCTCGGGTCGTCTGTTCTTAGAAGTGTCTCCTCAAAAGCACTATAAATGATCTGCGAATGGTCCGAATACAGATAGCTCTTCCACTTCACGTGGTTGTCGAACAGGTAGACTCAAAGGTTTAGATTCGAAAATTTTGTGTTAAAATACCGGTTAAAATAAAGCAAAACTATTTATTATAACATTTCGAACCAACTATCCTTCCTTTTACTAAATAGACAAACTCAAGTTGTCAGATATGGTCTACCATCTTCCAATGAACTGTCAGATATGGCCTACTACTTTTCAATGAACTGTCAAATATGGCCTACCACTTTTCAATGAACTAATGAGATGGAAGCCACAGTTTAAGTTGACACCAACTATAGAAGTTAGATGCTTAGAAATTTTTTCTCCTAAGCTTTAAATGAAATCTGTAAAAAATGTATAGTTTATAATGTTCATATCCATGTTTTCAGCTATCATATAATGAAAAGCATTACATTCGTTAAAATATAACTCGACGCTCGGCATGGTTCCAGCTGTTGTGCTGGTGGTCGATTAAGAATCATAATCTTATTTTAAGAAAGGAAAAATGTTAGCTGCTCAAGTCAGCAATGCCCAATCTAGTTAATAATATCTGTAAAACGTAATTCTTAAACCATTCAAGCATTCTCTCGTTGTAGATGATATAGTCATTCAATATAAACAATTTGAGTACTATAAAGACGGCCCGGCATAGCTAGGTGGTTAGGTCGCGGGTTCGAATCCCTGCCACACCAAACATGTTCGCCCTTTCAGCCGTGGGAGCTGACGGTCAATCCCACTATTCCTTGGTAAAAGAGTAGCCCAAGAGTTGGCGGTGGGTGGTGATGACTAGCTGCCTTCCCTTTAGTCTTACACTGCTAAATTTGGGACGGCTAGCGCAGATAGCCCTCGTGTAGCTTTGCGCGAAATTCAAAACAAATCAAACTATAAAGACCTTCTGAAAGGCATTTACAGGGAGTTTGATTCAGAACTCCAAGAACTACGCTAGATAGTAATAAACGATAAAAGGTACAGTCAAGTCTGCTTTAGTTGTTTATCTAGCAGGCGTTCTTTTTCGTATTTACTGTTGATAAATACTTTGAAAATTAAATGTTCAAACTTGAAAAGTAAATTATGCATTCTACGATATGAAAGAAAATTAGTTTAAAAACTAAAATAATTGAAAATCGATAGATCAATATCCTTTTAATTCAATTTTGAAAAAGGAAGCAAAAAAAGTGTTGTGTTCTCCTATTATCAAGATTTTGTATATGGCCAATATGATTTATGTATGGCTATGATATACAACAATGCAAAACACGAGTATCTTAGTCCAAAGACTGAATGCTCTCCCAACCTCCATTGTCTAAAGTATTCAGTTATCATTATAACTTACCTCTGTTGCTGCCACTGACTTTAACAGTTCCTATAAGAGTTTGAGGAACCACATCTTCCCCTACGGAGAAACTATAGCGCGCATGTTCAAACGTTGGCGGTTGTTGGCTGTGGGTCAAAACGCTTAAGTACACGTGGGCATTATTATCTGACGTCAGACCTGCACCGTCTTGAGCTGAGATCTCCAGGTGATGAAGTCTTGTTGCTGTGTCCAAATGACCGATAACGAAGATCTCACCTGCAAAAGAATAACATATATTAAAATATAGAATGTTCTAACTGTCTTTCAGTTTTTAGGTTACTTAATTATTTACACATATTTCTATTCACGGTAAACATTTTAGACGACTGTTAATTAAAATAGGCGTAGATTCAGACAACTTTAAAATGTGTTTCAGTTGCTACAGTGCCGATCTTTAAAGACCTTAATTATTTAATCAACAGATGATTTGATTCGTTCAAGCTGGAAACCTCAATATAATGTAAGCGTTGTATTAGTGACAACAAAAACTAAGACATTTTTC